ACAAGTCTTAAAGCTGTCAAGTTACAAGACCCTTGCACCCCTAATCCTTTAGGGGGAAAAAACCCCAGGGGTATTCAAACTTGACAGCTTTAAGACTTGTGGACTTCAACTCCCAGAATTCCTCCTCCAGTCATGTTGGCTCAGGAACTCTGGCATTGAAGTGTGCAAGTCCTAAAGTTGTAAAGTTATAAAAGCCTTGCACCCCTAACACTTTAGAAAAAAAAAACACCAGGGGTATTCAAACTTGACAGCTTTAAGACTTGTGGACTTCAATTCCCAGAATTCCTCCTCCAGTCATGTTGGCTCAGGAACTCTGGCATTGAAGTGTGCAAGTCCTAAAGTTGTAAAGTTATAAAAGCCTTGCACCCCTAACACTTTAGAAAAAAAAAACACCAGGGGTATTCAAACTTGACAGCTTTAAGACTTGTGGACTTCAATTCCCAGAATTCCTCTTCTCGCTCTTCATCTTGATGATGTGCGGGCGGGCGGGGAGAGGGAGCTGGAACCGGTTCTAAACGACACTGTAGATTTGTGGGACCTCTTCTATAGAAGAGGTTAGAACTGGCAGGAACCCACCCTTGATCCCATCCAAATGATGCATTCCCAATCTTTCAGCTGGATGCCCACTTCAAAATGCTTTAACTAGCCTTCAAACATTGAAGTGCTACTTCATTTCTTCTTCCTGGTTGGGTTTTGATTTTGATTCCAGAATAATCATTGACTTGCAAACATTACCTTCTCTTAGGTTTTTCAAAAATCTTTTTTTCATTTCTGTCTCCAGGGTCCTCAAGGCAAACCCGGTCTGGCGGGACTTCCTGGTACTGATGGCCCTTCTGTAAGTGATTTAGTCCATTTTATATTTTTGGGTTAAAAAAAATCATTTTGCAGTCCTATGCTCGTGGTATTTCAACAAGGAACTTGCACATCAATAGCTTGAAGCAGAACATAGAAAGCTTATCCAGTTTCATTATTTCAACCTGATCCACATTTCTCATCTAAGCCTTTATTTTTATTTTATTTTTTTTAAAAAAAGAAGGTCATGGAAATGGCAGATGAGAAATTGCACTGGCATCTGAAATGTTTAAAAATGCATTTAGTTGCCTGACCTGTGTACCTGACAGATATACAATACTGGAAATTAACATGATAGAAGTTTTAGGAGAAAACTATTTTTTTTTAAATGAAATAAACTGCTCTACCGGTAAAAATGTTTCATTGATTTCGAGGTAAGGTTGAACTCATAGTTCTAATCATTGTGGTACTTTTCATTCCAACGGTTAAAAAAAAAAATAATTTCAAAACGAAACAACAAAATTATTCTGGTTTTATGAGCTAGCTCATCTTTATTAAAAACTAGATGGTTATCACATAAATAGAAATGTGTTTACCAAACCAAAGTTTGGATTCGCATTGAAGCCGCCTGATGGATAATAATGATTATTTAGATCCAGGGATCCAATAAAAGCCATGAGGATATCCCTCACATCATAATCTCATTGTGCTGTGAAGTAGATTTTGTAATTTGTGTTAGCTGGGCAATCACACAGCACAAAGGATATATACCACATAATATGTTGTCTGAAGAAGCTTCTTGGTTGAGAAGCAAAATGTCTTCAAGGAAAAAGAAAGTCCAGTTGCCTTTAAAAAAAGCACCTTTGGTGCACCCATGACCATGATAACTGAGAATATCCATAGACATATGCCATTTTATTATTTTTATTCAGCTGACGATGTAATGATACAAATAATACAGTGGTGGGTTTCAAAAATTGTTTGAACCTACTCTGTGGGTATGGCTTCCTTTGTGGGAGTGG